AAACCATTCCATGATTCTATGAAGTACAGCAATATTAACCTAATGCTACAGAAATAAATGCTCCCTTGCGGGCATTATATTGAAATAAAGTCTTTTAGTAGAATAAATTTGCAAAAATTAAGTAAATAATAAGCAACATTGCCAAAAGCCTCCTTCCATTGCTTTGAAGAGAGCAGCATTAAGAGTCAGAAGAAAACCAAATCAGTAAAAATAATATTAAAAAAAAATAACTGCACGTGTCATAAAATTTGAGATTAATAAAACCCTTGGAATACATCTGATAAAATCCCACTGATGTAAAATTTTTGATTCCAGTACAATAAAAATACTTCAAGCCTAGGACAGAGATAACGACTACCCCATAAAGTATAAATCTTTTAAATTGCTCTCTGGTTGCATTAAATATTTCTTCCAGAGAGGAACGGAGCAATGTGAGGTGTACACACAAAAGTGCCTGTACATATAGGTATATAAATATAGACAATTAGACATATATGGACACACATTTAAATACATACCCGTGTTCTTAATTAGATGAATTTCACCCAAAGTTAGAAAGTCCCTATTGAAAGTAAGGAATTAAGACATCATAAGCAAATGAGGACTAATGGCAAAGCTTTGGCACATCATTATCTACTACTCTGTGCATGTTCTTGGCTCAATAATGATCACGCTGTTGTCTCAGCAATTCCTGAAAGTTCATGAATCAAGATGATGCTGGAGCCATAAATACACAATGCCCTGGGTGTCAGAGGTTCTTTCCAGTAGGATACACGTGGAATAGAAAATCCTAAGTACAAAATCAACATTTTCTGGCAGCAGGGAGGTAGTTCTGCCCTCCTGGGGATGAGGACAAGACACTGCAAATACAAAGTTTTTTCTGATGTCCTTTATGGTTTTTTTTGGCATTATCATGACTCTAAATAGCCTCTGAGCAGTTTTGATGGTTTAAGTATCATTACTTTTGAATTTCTCCATTAAATTACCAGTCTTTACTTTTAAACTTGATTTTAATACAGTTTCTAGTGTATATTTTGTAATTACTTTTAACAAAATTACTGAATTTTTTTTTTTTATTTTGTGAAAGTATCATTAATGTGTGTTATTAATGAGTATTCTCTAATTTTTGCTCTCATATGCCCACTCATGGTATAATTCTGTCATGCTTTAAATGGGATGTGTGGTATCTCCTGAATTCACCTTTTAGTTCATTCCTACAAGGAATAAAATGTGGAACTGGACACTTAAAAAAACCTCTAAATTACTGTATAAATTCCCTCCCTGGTCCCGTTTTTTGATGTTTTTTTTTTGGTTGGTTGGTTTTGGTTTTTTTCCTTTAATTTTTAACAACTAATTAATTTACACAGGAATGCTAAGAAACTCAAAAAGAGGAATAAAAAACCTGGGAAATAATTTAGAGGCATCATCAGTACTCACAAGCAGTAACCACAGTACAATAATTCAGTAAGGGGAGTTCACAGCTGCTCTCTGTCATCAATGGGATGCTAAACCACTTAATTATATTAATAAATACAGCACTTCATTTATAATCATCTAATTGATCTGTATAATTCAGCTCTTTTGGAGTAGAAGTAAAGGCAGACACCAAGCTGACAGATTTCCATTCCTGAGCTTCAATATTCCTTTTTGCTGCTAAAAACGTGAGTCATAGCCAGTCAACCTCAGCCAAACCTTGCATTTTATGTTTTGGGGTTTTTTTTCTAAAATACTGGCAGTTCAGGAACAAAAGCCATGTCAGCTGATAAAATTTTAACAAGTAAAACTGTTTAATGATTGAAACCCGGTACAATGTACCTGACTGGTTCAACAGTTAAAGAGTTAGAAGGCAGGTGGATAAGGGAAGGTCATCAGCAAAATGATATATCTTCTCAGTTCTGTATAAAAGAGAGTTAAAATAGAATAAAAAGTGCACAGCATATCTGAAATCTGGGTGTATCTGGTTAGCACAAGTTTTATTTATTGTTTCCCTAATTTTAATCCTCAACATCTCTCATTTAGCCTAATGGAATACAGATAGTACTGCTGGAAAGTGTAACAGAAGTGAAAAGCAAAACATTTTCAAGATGCTCACCAGCAGTTAATTCAATTACACTTTCTTATTCTACATGGTAAAGAAATGCCGCCTCCTTCTAGAATATAAGGTGAAAAATTACAATACTGTCACTGCAGGATCTGACAAATACAATTAGGATTAAATTATTCTCACTCCAGTGACAGCCCAGCAGAATGAACTGTGTGTATCTGGGTCACTACAAATTGGTTAAATCAATTAGAATTGATAAATGATAATAAAATTTCCAAAGTTAGCAAAGAAGAAAACTGCAGCAAGCACAAGATTCCAATATCCCGAATATTCTGTCAAGCCCCTCTGATCCTAGGAATTCAAATCACTAAGTACCTCATTAGTTTACTCTTCAACTTCACTATATTGACTTTTATATGTCAAATTATGTAGTGGTCAGGATGTTCCACACGATGCTTTAATTAATGCATCTATAGATGACTATTTTTCAAAAGTGTTACTCAAATTAAGGTTCAAATTAGTTATAGATTTTGTGCTCTGCTTGAAATATTAGCTCCATTCCAGCTGGTACTTTGCAGCAAGCTCTGTTCATCAGACATTTGATAGTTTTACAAGAAGCTCCTAAACACTCTAACATCTTATTCTATACTGGGGTGAATTCTGAATCAGGTTATCACATGGAAAACATGGAAATATTGTGCCTCCAACCATGCAGGAGTTGGAAAAGCACGAGTCGCCTCACAGTGACAATGAGGTCTATATCCCCAGACTCCTTTTCCTTTCCTCTGTCTTCCCTTTTCCTTGTGACTCCCTAGTTAGCTGCAAGTGATTTCCCCCATAAAATAATTCAAAATGGCAATACTCAAATATTCTTAGGCTTGGGGCTGGCTATAGCCAGCATGTGGCTTCCCTTCTTCACTTCACACCAGGTGCATAAAGATAACCTTTGGTCAAGGGAATCTCAGTGGTTCTGCAGGGCTTTAAGCACCAGGTATGGGGGATGCAGTTCTGCAAAAAGCATCACTTAAAGCTTCCAAGTATTGAAGGATTTGAGGATGTGAAGCATTTTGAGAGCCAGTATCTTCAGTCAAGATCTGAGTGTACAGGTTCTGGGGACACTGAGGGTCATTTAAATAATTTAGTTCATGACACTTAAGGACATGACTACTTTAATTTTCTATTTTGCTTTGGATCTCAATTGCTTGTTTAAAAGAGAACAATGTGAAAAAAACTTAACAAGGAAAGCAAGTAAGTTTATAGGTTTATATAAACTCTGGTCATCTTTCTGTATAATGCAGACTCGTGGTTAATCAAACGTTTGAGATTGTTCAGTCACAGAGACAAGATAAACCTGACTCTTATTTTTCATGCCTGGAAGTAAATTCCCAGGACACTGCTTTGGAAGATTCCATATTTATAGGCATGTTACAGACTGCATGGATGGACCTGAGAAGAAGGCAAGTACCAAAGCAAGACTCTGGCAGACCCAGTTGAAACTTTTTCAGGCTGCACTGAAGAACACAAAGTGGAGCAGCAGCTGTGCCTTCCTTCGGGGATACTGAAAATGCTTCTGTGGGATGATGCACTGGATTAACTTGGATAGTCAGTGAAGAAATGGAAGAGGTTCCAGTAGCCTGGTGCTGTAATTTATATGCTCTGAATCCTTTGAATTGGTACCAATAGAGCAGTAGTTTGAGCAACCTCAGGAGGAGCAAAGATTGCAGTTTAACAAATATTGTCCTAAGCCCAAGGGGAGGCTGTGTGTGATCTGCTCTCCCCTTCACACTTGACTGGCAACAAGTAATTCTGGTGAAGATTACACTTAGCATCAGAGCTTTCCACATCAAGCAACCTTATTCCATTTCCATGAAAATCATCAGCAATGTCCCTGTGTAATGATATAAAAATGGAAGGTGCTGAGGTATCGGTACAAATGCTAGGACAGATACATCTGTAGCTCAGAGTTATTTATGTATGGCATCAGTCATCACCCTCCTCACACACCCATCTTTTACAAACCCCAACAAAACTTCTGATTTCCTGTTATAAAATAAATGCTGGGGACTGAAATAGTCTACAGTCAGTGGCCTCACTTGTAGGTAAACAGAGGTAAATAACGCTCTACAAACTCTTCTGTGGTTTGCCAATGTTCCCTCAGGGGATTAAGTCCCTGTAGTTAGAGCCTGTCCTGAGAAGAGCAAGCACACAAAAATCTTCTGTTGAAAGGGACTCTGTGTGTGCCTTGTTAGGTGCCAGGATCATCACTGGTGATGTGAAAGCAAAGGCTTGGCTCGTTTCATTTCAGCAGGACACAGGCTGCACACCCATAAAACATCCCAGCAGGGTTCCCCAGCCCCAGAACACAGGGGATGAATGTCACTGCAGCACAGATCATTGCTGCACACAAGCAAGATGAAAAATTAATGCCTTGGGTCAAAAAAGGAAACACTACCACAGAATGGAGCATTTCAGGAACAACTCTCACACTAAGATTTAAATTCATCAACTAACAAGACATTTTTGGAGATGCAGATAGAACCAGATGACAAATCAGATTAAGATCCCTGAAAGTGTGCAGCTTATTCCTGGAAAAACACAACTTCAAATAAAAGGCCAAGTGTTATGCAGCAAAACTGAAATAGGAAACAGTATTTACTTGCTGTTATGTCTTTATTTTGAAATAATACTCATTGTTCTTTCTATCCAAATCACATTTGTGTGGAACATCAGCTCTACAGCTCTCTTAGTCTCCAAAAGGGATAAAAAAATAGTGTTTTGGAAAGAAATTATTTCTCCTAGGTAAAAGTATGTAAAATCCTAATAAAAAAAATAAATACATGTCTTAAATGCAGTATTCTATACTGCAATAATTTCTAGTAGAATAATTGAAAACATTTCCTTTTCACCTTTATTCAAATCAATATGAAAGCAAAAGGACATTTTATCTGCACAAAAAGTGACAAGTTCAGTTGAAAAATAACTGGCACAATAACAATGTTTAGCAGCCTCTAAAATTCGCTCAACATTTTTCAGAATTAACAGTCTGGGATTAAGACAAAATGACAATGCTGGAGGTATTTGGAAAGCACTGGAGACTATAAGCATATGTTCTGAGAGCATTAAATGGTAAGAATGCTTTGGCAGAGGTTTCAAAAATATTTGAAAATATAATTATGCAAAAAGAAGCCCCCAAAACACAAGCCTGAGACTCAAAACCATGTCAGTTCTTACTCGATCAATCTAAATCACCCCGTATCCCACGTGAATTGGAAACCAATCTCTTCATCTAATTGCTATGATAATTATCCTCAGATACTGGAAGAACAAGAACAGTCCATCTGTGAAGGAATTCAGTGCTGCATCACATAAAGTAATTCTGGAAAAAATAAAGAATAGCCTCAGTATGTGGGGGGAGAGTAAATGTGTGTTTTTCTAGCTGTGTATGGGAAATGCATTTTTCATATACTTTAAGAGGATCATACAAGGATCAAAATACCCACAAATACGTGTCTAAATAAGAGAAAATAATAAATAATTATATATTGTCATGGGTTTCTATCATGTATTGTAAAATAAATAGTATGGTAAAGGAGCACAAAGTAACAGCATAAAAATTAATATTTCTTTGGAGTTGTAATAAAACAAATTAAAATCTACTATTTCAGTTATATTCAACATGTCTAAGGTTGGAAGTCCCTCTTTCTGGAAACTCCTACTCTTACATTAAATATTCAAAATATTCATATTTTTTTATTTACTACTTCATTCTACTAATTAAAAATAAAATTAAAAAAGTAAAAACAATCACCATCTTTTGGATGATCCAAGGAAGCATTTATTGATAAACACACCAGACAATTAAGAGTTTCTTTCCAAATGGACTTTGATCAACATAATTCAAGCAAAGCTTTATAAATACTGGTCTTAGCCACTTGTGTAGCAGATTAAGTGACCAGACTCCTAAAAAATGCTGCCTTTTCCTCCATGAAGACAGATGGTGGCTGTGTTTTTTTTTTATTACATCCCCAAGACATTCAAGTTCATTTATTAAGACTGAATTACTGCAACACAATCTCTCTTTCCTTGACAACACATTTTGCTCTGCTTGTCCCTGTTCAGAATATTACTGCAAAGATCACCTCTACAGGTCTTTTCATCCCCATTTTTTTCTCCTTTTCCCTTCTTTATACCCTCAAATGCAAGCCCCTTGTCTTCCTGAGAGCTGCTTATGGTCTACCCAAGCTCACCTCCCTCGACATTCTACCAGCTCCTCTCTCCCTAGCTGCCTTCAAACACCAACTCTCATTACCACCTTTCCAGTCAGGCATTTTTGTGCTTCCCTGCTTCATAAACATCTGAAGAATAATTTCTTTATTCCTAGGGAAAAGCTCCCTCACCTGCCGTCAAGCCTGCACAAGTGATTTTAAAAAGCCAATTCAGAGCTAAAACTGTAGACACTGCACTGCCCAGCAACAACTCATTTACTCTGCATTCACTTGTGGGAGCCAAGATGGGCTGAAAGTGTGTTTTTAGGAGAGTTCTTAGAACAGTTTTTAGGAAAGTTCTTAGAGCAGCTTTTAAACAACAGTTAGATGTAACAGGTTTCTGTTCTACCACTTAGAGCATTTGGCTATTAAAAGTAATGATGTGGTGGTTTTGTATTAATTAAAATACTACAAACACAATGACAAAATATGGCAAGGGTATTACTTTATAATCTCTTTCCTTAGTATTGATGATATTTCTCTAAAGATTGTCACTGGTTGTTTTTCCTGACAAACACAAAGCGTCTGACTTCTCACTTTTGTTATGATCACTCCACCATGCTAACACAAACCCTTCATTCCTCCAGACTGATCAGTTTGTATCATCTGAGTATCTTTTCAAAGAAACCCCCTGCTAAATACAAAACTTTCAATCCTTTTTCCCCCTTCAGCTGCAGGCTGAATCAATACTGTAATAGATGTACTCTCATTAAAAGAAACAACTTTCCACTTTTGACACTGCAATTAGCCAAACAAATGCAGGCAGCTTAAATTCCTTCTTTGTCTAGCCCAGTTCCACAAAACTGCTGACCTTGTAAAGCCCAAGATTCCCAGAGCTATTTTATGATCTACTCTCATTAACCTCCAGGCTATCATTTTATGTAAAGGTAAGTTCAGCTACAACGGATAAGATCAGTTTGAACTGTTTCATTGTTTGAATAATCCAGGCAGATCTTTTTAACTTATTGCTACAATACCATTTCAGTGTCTTCTGAGGGGATAAGACTGCTTAAAGACTTTTTATTGTAAAATATGGAACTCCTTTAATTAAGATTCCAGCCTTGCCAGAGACTCTGTGGGCTATTCTGCTGATATATGGAGGGATGTACAGAAATATTTTTGAAAAATCTTACCTTACAACTTAAAAGCAGCAACACTGATTGCACTGTAATCTAATCCATGTGAAATTGGGAAGAAAAACATAAGTTTTGACTTTTCCATTACCAACAAGGTATTTGGTAAAATTCCCCCAAAGTCTAGCAAATATACAAACAACCACTCATTCTTCTGCCTCAGCAAAGCATTTAAAATTTATCAATCATGTTGGAAGCTATTTATGTGCCATTAAATTTTATCAGAATTTGTTATGTTTTTCACAGCTCTGAAATTGTTCAATGTGTCTCTGTTTGCATAATGTTTCTTGACTTTGCTGCCACCTGCAGCAAAATGAAGGCCCAGTAAAGATATTTCTGTCCTAATTTGCATCATTTATTTACAGTCCCTATTCATTACCCAAATGTACTCAAAGTTTATGAGAAAGTAATAGCAAAGAGTGACTTCTAAACTAATCCAGCCCTTTCAAAATGTCAAAATGCTTTGTGAAATAAAAAAAAAGAAAAAAGAAATAAATGTATTGGGAGATTAATATGTTCATTTATTTCATTTGACCAAAAAAATACTTGAAATCATGTAAAATTAAAATGATATTTAGACTTTTCAAAGCATCATTTCCTCTTTCAAATTTCTAAATAATAAATAGAATGGGAAGGAGTTGTATTAAATGCTTAAGTTTTTTTTAAGGTAGAAAACAAAAAAAATCTCAAGACTTTCTTTCTTTCTTAGGTCTTTTTGAGTGTGGTGGGTTTTGTTCTCTTTTTTACAATAACAAATATAAATTTGCCATCACTATCTTTGAATATCCAGTTCAAAACTGAAAACAAACGCTTAGCTAATAAGCATTAGCTAATATTCAAATATTGCTAATTAGAACAGATGGGAACTACAACAACCATCTAATTCAGTTGCCAGATATGTACTTCTGAAAAATACCAATGATACATGTATGTCTTTTTAACCATGAAGTCAGAGGTTAAAATCTTTATAATAATATAAAGTGTTTTATATCTTAAGTTCAATTGGAACAAAAATCATGACCATTAAAGATTAAAAACATGGTGCAAGCATTAGGGTGGTTTTCACCGACATCAATTAGAAAGTAAGATTTGTCTCCTCTTTCTCAAAGACCACCGTTTGTGGCTTTCAAAGTGGAAAGCACCCAGTTTAACTGAAAGAAAAGCAACATATCAAGTTATCACTGAAAAGGACAGCAGCCTTGAGAGCTTCCAAAGATTTCTCTCTCTTTTAGGAAAAGTCTACTGGACTTATTGGTCAGTATATAACGGCTCAGGGTCTTCTCATATTCTCTTGGTTTTTTAACTCAACTTGAATAGTACCTCAGTTTTTTTTTCCAAGTGGCCTTGTAAGAGCTGGATGTCACTTTACATCACTGTCATAATTTGCAACACAATTTGTATGAAGTCATCTTCATATTGGGTCACTTGTGTCTCCTTCAAGCAGAGCAGAGGACAAATTTCAAGTTATGATCTCCGAGATCAAAAACTCCACTTATGGAACAAGTCCCTCTCCTTAGGAAATACAGGCATCTTCTTTTTTACCAACAACCCCCTTGTAAGCCACTCTATTTCAAAATCCTACCATGAATAGGTCCATCAGAAGAAAGCTCTACAAGCCAAAGCCTGGGAAAAGAAATGCCAAAAAACAAACATATTCTTCTAATAATTTCAGTGCTGCTGTTATGAGAAATTAGAAGCATAAATAAAATGATGAAGGAAACTGGTAAAATGTTCTAAGATGTTCTCTTTGTGTGCATTTTGTCAAATTAGAGACTTATTTTTGACATATTTGTCCTGGCACTTAAAAATAAAGTTTGCTGTGTCGCATCCCCACACGACAGAAGATAATTTAGTTCAGTAGCTACACCTGTTCACTGACTGAGCCCATGTGGTTGCACAGTGGTTCTTGCCAGATTAATTTATCCTGTGAAACTTCTACTGAGGGGAAAAGGAAAACCTCCAGCTTCATTTACAGGACTTTCACAGCAGCTTTTTTATTTTACTGGACACAAGAGTTGATTGATGACATTTAGTTAAATATCTTTTTCCTACACTAACCTCTGTCAAAAAGATGACTTCTAAGGACAACGGAGAGTGAGGCCTTTGGCTGCATCCAGCATTCTCAACGCCAAGCAGACACCTTAGAAGTTTATAGCTTTAAAATACTGCTCAAAGAACCCAGTAGAGGTTGTGACCCTACCGGGCTTGGTACTGTACAAGTTTAAGTAAAAATATGAGATCCACGCTCCAAAGAGTTTGTGGACTCATCCTTTCCATCAAAGATAATAAAATTCTTTGGCAGCAAATCCAGATTTGGTTTCAAGCTACAATAAGTAGAGACTTCAGATGATCTTCTCTTTGGTCTCATACAATGAACTCCTGTCAAATGATGAACAGCAGAGCTTCAGAAATGATGAAAAGGGAAGAGAGACTAGAAAACTCAGCACTGAATCTGGATTTCTCATTCTGAAAATTCCATGATGCAAACTGAAGGGGGAGATCTGTTGCTTCAATGGAAGCACACACTGGGATGGGAGAGAGCAGAGTCCCAATAGTGTTTTCCTTGCTGAGCCTGTGGAGACCATCCCAGAAGGGGTTAAATAAGTAGAGGAACTGTTTTTACCTTGGGATCCTCATGCAGCGGCTCCTCACACCAGTGACACCCTGCTAGCATCAGACTTGCTTGGGCTGGGCACAGATGTGAGCTGGATGCTCACCTAAACTCCCCCTAAATGAATGAGTTCAGGATTGCAAATAAACTTGAATGCACACACTGAATGGGCACTTTGATCACTGCTGGTAACCCTCTAACATAGCCCTAATTCTGGTTTATGAACAAGTTCATTCCTTGAAATTACAAAGAAAAATTTCCATTGGGAACAAGTGCAAGAGAAGTAAAAATGAAAACAAAACCTGATCTTGTTTCCCATAGACACTGAAAAATTTTGCCTGCTTTAGAAAACAATACTAGTAACATT